GTCCAAAGGTCTGCAGGATAGAGACCTTTTAATTTTTCAATGGTATTCGAAAGTCAATTTTTCAAAGACATATATCTCCCGATCCGTAGGAATCTGAGAGACAATACTCATGTCAGTTTGAGGTCTCGAATATGTCAGCGGCATGTCAGAGCCACCTCAATATCAGTCTAAAGGTTTGCAGGATAGAGACCTTTTAATTTTTCAATGGTATTCGAAAGTCACTTTTTCAAAGGCATATATCTCCCGATCCGTAGGAATCTGAGAGACAATACTCATGTCAGTTTGAGGTCTCGAATATATCAGCGGCATGTCAGAGCCACGACAATATCAGTCCTAGTGTTTCCCAAGTAGAGACATTTAAAATTTTCAACGTCATTCAAAACTTATTTTTTCAAACGCACGTATCTGTCGAACTGCAGTAAACCGAATGAACATATTCATATCATTTGGAAGTCATTGATGGGACAACGTCACCTCATGATCTCGACAATATCAGTCCTAGGTTTCGAGTTATATAGGACTTTAATTTATCCAAGCTCACCACAAGATTTATTTCTCACGCTTATATTTAACTAACTATATTAATGTGTGGGACCGTACTCATATTATTTTGAAGGAACTTATACATTAATGTCATACCTAAGACAGGTTAACACTCCAAATGTTGGGGCTTACTGAGTTAGGTTTTTAAAAGCAAGGAGTATTGTAAAGTGATTTCGAACTATTTTTTCTCACTAACATCGATAAATAGCGATGTTTGGTACTCAGTTATTCATCTCTGACTTTTTAAACTGAGGTGAAAGTAAGAACAAAGCCAAGAGTCGAGGCTGTGCATTGTTCTCCGTCATGCTTAAATTATTCATTGTTCATCCTCCGACGGCCGTTCTAACTTAATTGAATTAACTAAAGCTCTGTAAATTAGTCTTTCAGACAAACGAAATATGATAAATTATATCAGCGATTAATTTATTAATAGTTTATTACTTTTATAAAGTAAGGAGTGTCTCAAAAGCTCTTTTACTAGTATTTATAAAGGTAAATATTTTGTAAGTGTGACAGAGAAATTTACAGCTGTGGACTTGTGTGGTTTGACACAGTTCTTTCATATTACTTACGCTTTAGCCAATTACTTGCGTAACAAGAATCATGCCGGTTTTAGTAGTGCAGTGCGTTTATTGTTTAACTTTATTTTCTAACGCAGTCGTAATGAAGCATTAAAACAGGCTTATCCGGTGAACTTTCGTGATGTTGTTGTGCCAAATAAGTTGACTATTTCCCAACTCGTTAATAAGCTGCGTCACTCTTCGAAGAATTTCTGCGAATATGTTGAAACTGATTGTGTTGTGTCTACAACAGGATGAGAACAAGAAGATGGCTGTCTTGTGTGGGGTTGCGCCATTTAGTTTGGTAGAAGTTTGCCGACGTTTCAGAGGTCCTTGTTACTTCCAGATCAGTCTACTCCAGACAAAGCAAAGCTTTAATTGAAATTAAAGTAATAGGTCTATACGGCTACTGTCAAAAGCTCTAAATGTGCCAGGAAAGAATGTGATGCTTTTGAATTTACAGATGATTTTAGCAAACAGTCCTGATTCGTATTAATAACGTAAACCAGTTTTGCGCGCTCACTGAAATTACAAAGGTGTTTGTGGGAAGACACTATGTGATATGGAAATCTTTTACAGCTGTACTCCACAATGAACAAAATCAAACTATGAACCACGTTTATACTTCTGCATTTAACTACACCTGTCTTGAAAATGTTTGAGAGAGAAGTGGCGACCATAACTGGTGTGCTACAAAAGAGACAGTCACGTGGTAAACCTCCGTAGCCGTGCCACAGTTCAAGCGGTTTGTCGTCGGTCTTCTTACGGCAGAGGCCGGTTTTCACAGACAGGTCAGTTCATGTGGGATTTGTGGTAGACTAAGGCCCGTTTCACACATACACGGCGACCGTCCAAACGGCTCCGTTTACACGGTCAAAGGTCGAAGATTATACCAGAGCTTTCACACGCACCGGTGCCGTCTATAGGGTAACGGTCTACCGTGGTCGCCGTGTCTTCCCACTACAAATCCCGGCGCCGTGACCGTCCTAACGGTGCACCACCAGGTAGTCGGGTAAACAGTTGAATGGCTTCCTTCACACGTGCCGTGTGTAATGCCCGGTTCCGTGACTTATGTACCAACCTTGTGAAGTAATAATCAGTGAATGTGAATTTCTATCACGCAATATGACAAATGTAAATGTTGACATTGATCATCTAATTTCTTTAATTGAAGCGAGGCCAGTACTTTGGGACAAAACAAGTGTTTTGTACAAAGACAGAAAGGAAACGAAAAATGCTTGGAGGAAAGTTTTCCTAGAACTGAAAAGTGATTTTGAGGAGCTGGAAGACAAAGAAAAATATAACTTTGGTAAGTTTTATTCTTTATTTTATTGTTGCTTGAATTGAAATGTAATGAAAAAGTTCTATTACACAATTGTTGCAATTTTTTTCTCATTATGTTGACCAATGTTAAAACTAAACTTTCTACAATTAAATATAGGTATAGCTGTAAAGATATGATTAACGTTAATGAAATTAAAACTTTGAAAGCTGCCATTTCAGAGATCCAACAGGTGTTAAGAAGTAGTCAGCTAAAAGATTTCTCACATTGTTTGCTGATATTCC